CCACCCCCCCCCAAACGTCACTTTACAAGGACCTCTATCCTGGTGGTGCGGTCCGGACTCCGAAGCAACACCTGCAGTGCTGGAAAACCGGTCCAGCATCCCATGATTACCCTTTGAGGACCTCTCTATCCATGGTACACCTTGAGTCCCTGCTGGAGGCCGGGTCCAGTGTTGATGCCTGCTGGAAACCACTTCAAACTGGGTCCAGCATCCCTTGATTACCCTTCCCTGATGGAAGCTGGGTCCAGCATTGTTCTAATCTAATCTTTTTTTTTCTTTTTTTTTTTCTTTTTTTTTTCTCTCTTTTTTTCTCCTTTAAAAAGCCCAGGTTGTTGTGGAGGTGGGATACTAGACGGATGGCAGTTACCCACAGTGCTCGGCCACTCGGTTGTCCAGATGAACCCCTCTGAAGACCCCACCCACCCTTCCTCTCATCGTTTTTGCCCTTGCGCACCCACACCCCGCCTGTCCTACCCTAGTGTTAACCACCCAGAACCATCACCCATTGCCATCTTGGCGAGATGACCTGACCAGACAGCGGCTGCAGGTACCGGGGCTCAGCAGAGATGGCTACCCCCTGCTCAGCCCTGGTTGAAGCAAACGCCGTGCAAGCCTGATTGCACAGGGACTTCGGGAGCTAGGTTTTGAACATGCTACTACAGGTCTTCATGAGGGTGCACAGTGATTCCCATCTAGCTTAGTTGTGTGGTGATGATAGCGAGCTGGGTATCCTCCGTTCCCTCGTATGTCCCTGGAGCCCGTTCCGGCCATGACACCCCTGACATCCCGCACTAAGGAACTGCTATGCCAGCCTCAACCCTATGCTACGTACTAGGAGGATAGCCAACCCTAGATCATGAGTTATGGACTGAGTTTCTTATCCTTCTGTTGTCTTGTACTATGGTGTTGATGGTAGAGAGATGGGGATCCTCCGTTTCTTTTTTTTTTCTTTTTTTTTTTTTGGGATCCTCCGTTTCCTCCCTGGAGCCCATTCCGGCCTCGCGGTAAGGTGCAGTATCTCCTGACACCCCCGACATCCGTACTAAGGACTGCTATGCCAGCCTCAACTCTGAGGTACGTACTAGGAGGATAGCCCACCCTCAATCGTGAATCATGGACTGTATGTATTGACCCTGGATAATCTCTTACCCCTGTGTTGTATGGTAATCTGAGAGCAGACAATCCTCTGTTCCCTCGTATGTCCGTGGAGCCTGTTCCGGCCCTGCGATAAAGTGCATTATCTCCTGACACTCCCAACATCCCGTACTAAGGAACTGCTATGCCAGCCTCAATCCTTTGACCACGTACTAAGAGGATGACCAGCCCTAAGTTACAGTTTGGTATCGAACACAGGACCTTATGTGAATGGTACAACTGACCTAACCTATTGACCTACACTGTGAAATAGTCTGTGGTTGTGCCCTGCTGGGCTCGAGCAAACCGGACTATGCGAGCCACCCAGCAGTGCCATGACAACCCTGCCGCCCACCCTTCCTCTCATATTTTTGCCTTGGCGCACCCCCACCCCCCCTATCCTACCCTAGTGTTAAACCACCAGTACCTGGCCCAGCTATCGAGTCCGAGCCTCGGCCGACCGGTACGCCGATCCGTGCCGAGGCTCGGACTACCGGGCGCAGGCATCCCGAACGTCGGAGTGAAACGAACGAAAAAAAGGGAAAAAAAAAAACGAAAAAAAAAAC